TATATATATATATATATATATAAGAGAGAGTAGCGAGATACATGGATATTCAGTGAGTTCCTCATGTAATACAAATGAATAAAGCAAACAAATATCTAAAGTATAATTAAATCTCAACTAGCAATAAATTAAAACCAATCTTGAGTAATCTATTTTACATAATATATATCTCGGAAATTGAAATGTTAGCTTATTTTATCTAGTCTATTACGGAATATGCATGATTGTATGGTGTGCTTGGCAAATTATATACAGGAAATATTTGTTATGTCATTTGTATTTATTGTGTATGTTGTCATGGCAAATTCATCCAAAGTTAACTAACCGAAAGCATAAGTTTAAAAGGAAAAAAGTTTAAATTTACATTTGTACTATTCGGAATTGTTTAATTTTACATTCGATTACACTTTTAATCCATTATGCCCTTTCTGTTAGCATGTCTCTTGTATTTGCTCGGTCAATATGGTGCTCCATCGTGAAAGGTAGATTTCATATGTCTAAATTTTTCGAGAAAAAATATCTAAATTTACCTCTAGATTTTTTACTATGCTTTAAATTTAGCCTAATTTTGAACTCCATCATAGGGGAAGGGAAAACATAATATTTTTGCAAGGTAATATTTAAACCAAAAATTAAATGAAGGACAAAGTTGTTCAATTTCAAAAGGTCCCTCTTAAAATTGTTCTAAGAAAAATTATCAAATGTGATCTATCTGGAAAAACAAATACCCTATAACCCATACAAAAGAAGAAAGTCTTAACATTTATGTAGTGACCAAAAAAATCCTTAATATATGCTAATTAATGTGTGCTAAATGCGTTGTTTGGCGTGCTAATGAGAGTTAATAATTTGGTCATTAAAGTATAAGTAGGATATGGTTTGAAAGGTGCTAAGATGTTAGGAAGTTGAGAGAAATGGTATGGAGTGAGTTGAAAATGTTAAACAGAAAAAGATGTACAATGTTAAACTAGACATGGCTTCAATGATATTCAAGTTATGTTACGAATAATATGACATTATGAGTTTTCAAATGAAACATGGGTAAAGGCTTATCGAAATAAATGACATGTTATTGGCCATCAAGGCTTATTTAAAGTTAGGGATGGCATAATTATCCAAACTCATTTGACCCGTTTAATCCGCCCAAGTCGGAATGGGTGGACAACATGTATTTTGTTGGTTGGGCTGATTTGGGATATGCCCGAAGTGACCCATAAAAAAAATGTAAGCCCATATTAACGGGTGAAATTCAAAAATAGACAGATTTACAAGTGGTAATTGAAAAATAGCCACAGTTTCAAAATTAATAGAAATTTAGCCACTTTTCATGTAAAGATAAATCTGAACGAAAATATTGTTTAAAATCCGGAAAATATTCCAGTATAATATACTGGAGTTCGAATGTTTTACATGTGAACTTCCAGCATAATATACTGGTCCAGCATATTCATACACATATGCTCCAATCTCCAGTATATTATGCTGAAACTTTCCGTGTACTGGAGTTCCAGCATAATATGCTGGAAGTTCATACACAGGTGCACCAATCTCCAGTATATTATGTTGGAACTTTCCATGTTACAGCAAAATAGTGGCTATTTTTCAATGACTTTACAAACGCTGACTATTTTTCAATTAGCAGTCCAAAAATTAGCTAGTCCGTGTTATTTTTACCATATTAATCCGTGTAAGTGCCCATCTCTGACCCGTGAGATTTCAAAACATACACCCACTATTTCTCACGTCACAGGTCATTAGTTAGCCATAATGAATGATCAAATGTCCATTCACGTTAAAATTCATTAGAACCCCTTAATTTTTAAACAGTGATAATTATTTATGTTTTACTTTTGATCTTTGATATATAATAATGCATTGAAATTGACACTATAAAGCACATTAGCAAATAAAGACTCATTATGGTCGTGATTTTCATATTGATTTTCATACTTCCAATATTATTTATAGGAGGTAAATGTGGCTCAAATAGGAAATATATACTAAAAAGTGCAAAGGGTGATCTTATATTATTATTGGTAGAGTAATATCTTTGAAAAAATTTAATTTTATAAAACTAAAAAAAAAACAATAATTATGTTTGATAAAACAATAAGTGCGTAAAATTTTAGTACAAACTGATGTGAAATTTCAAATTTAACATGGAACTAAAACTTAATTAATCTATAGGGCACGTTCAGTCTTGATTTACGACAAAAAGTTAATAATTTTTCTTTAAATTACAAAATGGGAACAATACTAGATTAACAAAATTCAAACTGTTACACCAAGATCGAGTTCGATTTGGCTGATGGCATTCTATAGGATTGGCATGAATATTTATTATTGGGTTGAGTTGGGCGGATTGGATTATGACCCATTATCTTGCCCATGTTAATCCAATCCATCTTAGCCCAAGTAAATTTTGGGCTTGATTGGATAATGACCCATTTATTGATGCAACTCATTTTAACCTGCCCAACCCGCCCATTTGTCGCCCCTATTTAAAGTTCATGTTTATGGGCCTCTAAGGTGTCAAATGTTAAAGGAAATGTTTATGGAGTCCTTAATCCGATGACTAAAGTTACTTGTGTTGGTACAGGGCTATTGGGATAACCATTAGTTTAGGCGACTGGACAGCTTCCGTTAGATGGTATTTTTGAATTTCTCCCTCAAGTAAAAATAGCACGGGTTAGCTAGTTTTCATATTGGTAATTAAAAAATAGTCAGCATTTGTAAAGTCATTAAAAAATAGTCACTATTTTGCTGCAACACGGACCGGTCCAGCATAATATACTGGAGATTGGTGCACTTGTGTATGAACTTTCAGCATATTATGTTGTAACTCCAACACGCGGAAAGTTCCAGCATAATATATTACAAATTGGAGCACATGTGTATGAACTTCCAGCATGATATGCTGGATATAACCCATATATAATATGTGTATAGTTGTATATTATCAATGTATAATTTATTTATATTGGCTAATAAAAATAAACAGTTTTCAGTCATTTATTTATGTAAAGATGCCAATTAAATGTATCAATTTAACATTATAAACTTGTATTAATTAAAAACTACTTCTTAATGTTTATAGTTGCAAGGCCATCTTAGTTATTTTAACAGAAAAAGTGTTTATCAATATATTTTTTTTATCAAACACGTCAATGGCTTATTTTCAGCTCCGATACATCCATCCAAACACATTCGTGCTTATTCATTGATTCAGCTCCAATACTTAAAAAGTACTACTGAGCGGTTGATGCTTAAAAGCTACTTAAATTCATATAATTCGGATACACTCTCTTTATCAAATGTGACCATCTTGGGTATGTCAACATGAATATGAAGTGGCACAAGAGAAACCATGATTGTAAAAGAGGGTGTTGATTGCTGAAGGCCATGTCATGTTGTCTATTTTGCCAGATGCTGGACCTACTGGTTGCTACTTTGATGGTACTGTGGTAGTAGTAGTCGAGTTTTATAGTCTATTCAGTCAAATTTCTAAAATCAGTTTATTTTAAAAAATATTTTTTCAAAAATGCTCTTTAAAAAAATATTTTCGTGAGAAACAATTGTATTTGACTAATTAATTTAAAATGTAGTTTTGAGCGGTAATTAATGTTTGACCAAATTTTTAAAAAATACATTTAAATAATTTTTCTCAAAAATACTTTTTTGAAAAATTACTTTTAGGGAGAAGCTACTTTTTTTTTCTCAAAAATTGTTTCTGCTTCTACTCAAAAATAATTTTTGTCCGGTTAAAATCTTGGCCAAACACCTTACTTAAGAAAAAAGTATTTTTATTCAAAAAGAAGAAAAAAAACTTGACCAAATAGACTATTAGTTCGTGAAATAAGGTCTAGCCAAAGTTGAGTATTTTGTAAATCATTTCTCAGTATTTGTTGGATTTCCTATCCAGGATGGTGTTGGTGATTCTATAATAACTAGATGGGATAAGCACGGGCTCAACACTTTGGATTATAACGTGTTTTATTTCAATAAATACTATTTACCAGCGTATAATCACTTGTAAGATCTGTTAACATTTCCTACTAACATTTCCCAAGTAGGAGCACTTGCAATACGTAAGAAGTTATGCGTCTTATTGTTGCAAAGTTAAAATTAACATTTAATGCCTTTTGCCCCATGAGTCTGATGAGATAGTACTTCCTAAGCAATAAAAAAAACATGCCAGGATATGAATGAAGTTGGTATCTTCTCTGTTGAGAGTGCAACAGGGTATACATTGCTAATGGGTTGAGAGTTAATTTGAGTTGAAATCACAGATAATGAAATTTTCCTTGATCTACATCGAAGTAGAATATAATTCCAGAAGTTAAAGAGATCAATATGCTCATGCTTACAGTCCTTCAATAACAAAGATAAGCTGGTATTGCATTCTTTTAGCTTTCTTGGTGCTACTATGCATTCCAAATGTAAGTATTTCTTACAAAGGCATAGAAGGATATCTGTAGTGCATAAATTAACTTGAGAAAATCCTAGTGATGGCAACAACAGAAGAGGCTAATCACTATAGAAATGGAAAATGGAAATGCACATTGTGGTTGATTGCTTGTTTATGAGATCTGCTAAAAGTATTGTATGACAAGAGGCACAGTTATTTGCAATAACATTAAGTACTTCCATTGCATGAGAGTGTGATAAATCGTAGATGATTCCCTCTAATACCCACATTGTATTCTTCTTTAGCTCTAAATCTGATGATTGAAGCTTTTTAAACCAATTTTTTTTTACTCTCTTCAATGATTTTGCTGTCAGTATTGGGTGTTTTTATTCATTGATTGCCTCTTTTAGAACAGTAGTTTTCATCTGCAAGACCTCTGGCAAATCAATCTAAAAAATGTTAGTTTCTTTCAAGCAACTCAAGCAGTATGCCCTTGTATCCGTACATGCAGATAAGCAGACTGATATCATTGGTTTGTTCTATAATGTCGCTATTCAAAAAAATTGCAGGGCTAGCAAGGAACAGAGAATATAAAAATAAAATGCCCGATCGATACGCTAAGTTCTCGCTAATGCACCAAGTTTAAGGAAAGGCCAGATCACATTGATATCATTTGTTGTTCTGTATTGTCCCCACAAAATGGATTCAAATAACTTGGCGGGGGCAGTGAGGAATAGAGAGCAGAGAACAACGAAAAAAGGCTGGATCACATTTCTATATAGTTTTATACGTAGTCTTATCTTGCATTTCTTCCAGAGAATGTTTCTTGCTGTGAACCCATGTGCTCCTGGTCACGCAGCAATAACTCTTACCGCTTCGCCAAGGCTCGGCCTCAGTGAAGAACAAAAACTAAATTTCCATCAATTCATAGCTCGATCCCCATAGTTAAGCCATAACTCGAAAGAAATGCAATGTTTTATCTAATTCAGTTGAATGTATCAAGTTATGTGGTAATGACCTGCTTATCAATGATTATATCATTTAAGCAATATAGAGATTGCTTATTACCAATCACACCTATCTGAAGTTTTTGCCAAGTTGGTACCCTATAATCCTAACAACAAGTTCTTTTCATTAGCCAGACCAATTCCATTCCACGTCTAGAAAAAATTGAAACCTTATATCAGATTGTGAGAAGAAAAACTTTACCTGAGAGATATACCATTCAGTTGTATTATAGATATTGTAATCAGCACAAAACATGGGCAACAGGGTTATCTATCTGCACATGTAAATTTTGGAACGGTAGATAAAAACATTAACAATAAAAAACACCAGAATTTAGACAGTTTGACATCAAGTGTATTCTTTGAAACTCATAGGAAATAACATAATGTATCTAAAAGCAATATTTGAGGCACCTCAAACAAAGCAAAATCTAGGAAAGCGATAGTGTATCTACCAAGGTCGAATCCTCTACTGATGCAGTGCCGCTTTTTAAACTATGGTTGTATTGTCAGTGAAAATCTGATGTAGTTTCCACGTCTGTCATTCTACCTCCAATCCTGCTTCCTTCAGCAGTCATGGCTTAAAGATCCACAATATCAACAAGATTGTGCAAAAAAAACATACAATTAGTCACCAAATATACTTTAAAACATGAACATTTAGATGAAAGAATTAACAGGTAAAGATAAATATGTTAATACAAAATAGTAAGCAATGCTTAAAATTTTGTTGGAAAAGTAAGTTACAACTAATACCAACAAGACTTACTGGTAAAAATGAGTAAGATTGAACAAAGAACATAATAAATTACAAAAAGTTTTCTTATTAAATACCAAAAGAGTTCGTAAAAGTGAACTTATGAAGGTACTAATTTCGGTCCATAGAGAATAAGCAACCTAACATTTAAATGCAAAGTTATAAAGCATGTTATTTTGGGTTGAAATAAAATGATAGCGCAACTTTCTGTAGCAACTGACAGTACTTTGTAGTACTAACATAGGGAAGCATTTCAGTCTGCAGGACTACCTGACTCAATGAACATGCAGAACAACACAAAGAGAAGAAAAGGAACTTTTCTCCACCTGAAAGTCCATTAACCTGCATCTGCATATGTAACACAACTATCACACTGGAAACATATATCTATCTAATGGAATATATCATTAAGAGGGGAATAGAAGTAGTACGTAGGTCCAGTGTAGTCCTGAACCCATCTAGAAATGGAAAGAAAGATCATTAATAACAAGATGAGAAAAGAAATCTAGTTACAAGCTAATTCTGCACGATGATTGTATTAGTGCTGTATATTGTGTTAGAAACAATATTTGCTTGAACAAGCTAATTCTTAAGATCGCCCTGTAATGTAAGGGGAACACGAATCGTCTAAAAATAAGTTACTTACAGAAAGAACATCACAGAACATGTACGGCTAAAATATGATTTTCTCTGTTTTCCTCTTGAAGATCACCGCTCTTCTGATAGCAATAGGAGAACTGGGAGTTGAAATTGAAGAACTGTAGTATACGTTGCAGCTGAAAATGACTATGAAAACCTTAACAAATACTAACTCACCATCAAGAACAGTAAAGCTTCAAATTTTATGGATTGCATCAGTGAGCCTGTCATTCCGTCTATATCAAGAACAAGTATATGCTAGCTGACAATGGCAATCCCAATTTATAGTTATTTGTAGACCTTTTTCATTTAAGTAAATATGTTTAACTTATAAATAAGGTTTATTTATAAGTTATATTACAGTTTGACTTAAAAGAACAAAGATTTATCTGTAAAAGCTCATATAAATAGGTTGATTAAATAAGCCTTTGACAAAGTCTACATCAGTTTGAGGGGATACATCAATAAGAAACAGAAATTTCTTCTAACACTTCAACTATATGACAAGGGTATCACTATTTCTATTTGGATTTACAAAGCAGTAGTTACTCGACAGCAAAAGTATATAACATAGTATCATCTCTTTAAAACTGAAGTTTTGAATAATAGAGCTTAAAACTTTGTTTGGAAAATTATAGTAGCTAATACCAACATGAGTTACTGGTAAAGAACTTTAACTCACCCGATCAGTTGTCTTCATTCCCATTAATTTCCCTTTAATGACTTCTTTGAGTCCTCACTTATGGAGATGGAGCTGTTATGAAAAACATATTAACAAAGAAAAGATAAGTCGGCTGAAACACCAATTTCTCTTCAAGCAGTTGAATTTCACAAAATCAAGAAGCATTCAACCATTATTTTAATTGGAATTGCAAAAATACCAAGCAAAGCCCCTAATTTCACTTCTGCCAAAAGCGAAACAAAATCGTCAGTGGCAATCAATGTAGACTGCAAAATTACCTATTTAGATTTTCTCCGGAAGACTCAAATAAGCAAATGCAAGGACACAAAAGGAATTATACCTAGCAACAAAAGTAGTAGAAAGACCAAACTGCCCTATGTCTGCAAGTAGGGATGTCGACGGTCTACTACTTGCTTTAGGATTTTCTGTACAACAGCAACAACAACAATCCAGTATAATCCCACAAGAGGATCTGAGAAGAATGGTGTGTATGCAGACATTACCCCTACTTTGGAGATAGAGATACTATTTTCGATAGACACTCGACTCCTTCCCTTCAAGAACTCGCCACCTTGTGCTCTTGGGGTGACTCGAACTCACAAACTCTTGGCTGGAAGTGGAGGGTGTTTACCACTAGAGCAACCCACTCTTGTCCATATAATCATACTCTTAGCTAACGTTTGGACATATATTTGATTGAAACTTGAAAAAATGATTTTTGAAGTTGTGTTGAAAAATAATTTTTAAAAGTTAAAGTTATGTCTGGACATGCATTTTATTTGAAGAAAATTTGAGGTTTTGTGCGTGGAAGAAAAAAAAAATTTCACCCAAAAACTGTCTTAGCTTGAAAGTTTTTGATTTTTTTCCCACAAAACACCATCATATTCATAAACAAACAATATTTTCAAAATTTTGTTGAAAATAAAGCCAAAATCTATGGTCAAACGGGAGCTTTGTTTAGTATGAGACATCGTTAACTTTTGGTTCAATTTGTTCTCTCTTAGTTTTTTTTTCCTTTTTTGTTTGAATTAGTCATCATATCCTATAAATTATGGTCATGAATCATGATTACTATTTGGTTCTCCTGAACAAAATCACCTCTTGCAAAATGCAAGAAAATGATTATAGGTGTGCTTGGATCATAAAATTTATTTTCCATGAAAAATGCTATCTTGCAAAATGCTTACACCTGAAAATATTTTTCACTGTTTGGTTGGTGAGAGAGAAATACTTTTCTGAAAAAAATATATATTTAAAATTAATAATAAATAAAAGAATTTAGAACTAAATTTCAATAATAGTCCGTTAGAGCAAGTAACACAAAAGTTCAAAGTTTATATAATTGTAAGAAAACATTTTTGGTATTTATTAAATCCATAATAAACAACAAATTATGCTTGACCAACTTAGTAGGCATTTGGACATAAAAATTATAATTTTGAAAAAGAATAATATTTGGAGTTGAGTTCAAAAATTATATTTGAGATTTGAAATTATGTTTGGACATGTATTTCACTTGAAAATGTTGCAGTTTTGTGAGTGGAAGAAAACTTTTTTTAAAAATTTTGAAAAAGTGCTCAAAATCACTTTTTATTTTTTGAAAAATTCATTTTCGAAAAATTTCAAAAAAAATGTATAATTTAATGGACAAACATATTTTTAAATTTTTTTTTTTTTGAAAAAAGAAATTTTTTTTTGTCGACAAACGGGTCCTTATAAGCGGACCAACAAATAAAGCATTTTTGGTATTTATTAAATCCATAAAAATAAAAAATAAAAAGAACTGCTTGTAATGAACCCGTCGGAAACGTGAAACTGCATTTTACACTTGTCTTTAGTGTAAAATCTGAATAAAAATACTATTTAAAATCAGAAAAATATTCCAACATTGCATTTTCGGTATAATATACCAGAGTTTCAGTATAATATAGTGGTCCAATATAACATGTTCTTTAATGTATATTATACTGTAACTTTCCATATAGAGCTGAAAGTGCATATACAGGTACATATTATGCTGAAAATGCATATGCAGGTGCACCAATCTCCAATATATTATGCTGAAACTTTTTGTATTGCAACAAAATAATAGTTATTTTTTAATAATTTTATAAATATCAATTACCAATCTGAAAACTGACTAGGCGGTGATATTATCACCTCAATAAATCAATAAATGACAGATGTGAAGGCCCACAAAATTAGGAAAAGAGAGTAGTTTTGATGGCTCCATTTGCATTTGGTGTAACTGCTACCAAGATTCACTCCACCAGATCTTTTTCACTTCCTAATACTTGTACTTATTCTACTTGTGGCACTAGCTCTAACCCCGTTTCCCTATTATTTTTCAAGAACTTAGCAATTGATTCTGCACCAAATTTGTTCTGTAACTCCCTTTGCAGGTGAGTCCATACATTTTACTGGGCCTTGGTTTCTTTCCAGATCTTGAGAAAAATGAACTGTTTGAAATGGGGTTTGATCTTTTGTTTTGGTAGTTTAGTTTACTGTTGCTGGTCAACATTTTGGTATAAGTGGATTCTCACCATTTTCTTCTGAAGTACTAGTAAGTAAATTTTTAAGTGAAAAGACATGCTCATTTCAGATATGTTTATTCGTAAAACTTAGTTTTTTTGTTGACTTTGTGAAATCTCCATTACAATACGGTTCTTTTGTATGATTACAATGATAAGAAAGGTAAGAATAAATCAGTATGAACAATTGGAGTTGTACAAGTATTTCTAGTCCTTTTTAAAAATGTTTGCCATGACCCCGGAGATGGAAAATAGCACATAGCAAATGATGAGATTTTTTTTATTTTTTTTTTGTGTGTGTGTGTGTTAAATAGAGTTGAGCTAAATGAAAGTAATGAGGATTCATATTGTCGACCCCAACTTGCTTGGGAATGAGGCATTGTCGTTGTTGTTGTGTGTGTTAAATAATAGCGATGCTTGGGTCAGCTATAGACACCTCAACTAATCAACCGTATACTAGCTATTCCTAGAGGGTACGGGGTAATTCTATCAATCAAGGCTTAGGCAGATAGGCAGAATTCATCGTTTGGTCTATATTGATATTCAATCCTTCTTTTGATAACCTTGAAATCCCGAGGGCTAGTGGTCCGCGGTTCAGAACTTGGTGGATGATGGGTAACTCATATAACCTTCTCCACTTAAATACCAGGCTTTGTGTGTTGTAGGGCTCAAAACCTTGACGGAAGCCTAACCCGCACTGTCGCACATCATAAGTTAGTTGCTTAACGCTAGACCAAAGCCCCGAGTCTGTTGATATTCGATGGTTGGTCCCCAAGTTGTTATCTCTCCTCTACTTCTAGTCTACCTCTTGGGAGTTGGGGCCTGGTGAGGCAGAGGGCTAAAACTTATAATCTAAAAGAATGATGCTTCCAAAGTGGTTCCTAATAGAACTTTCTAAAACTAAAAAACATGGTATATTTTTAGACATAAAAATAACCCAGTCTTTAGGAAGTATAAGGAAGTGATCTGATTGAAACCGAGCTTTTGAGTTTTGAGAAATCATAGGTTAGCATCCTATTAGTCCAAATGCTAGCTTAAGGAATATACTAGTTTTAAGACCTCATTCCAGATGCCTTCTTGTTTTTGAAGTCATTAGAAAGAGTTGAACTGTTTAATCCATATATTCTCCTGCATATATAGTGCATGGGCTAGGGAAAAGCTCCTCAATAAGCTTCACTAGATTCTCAGCTGCACACATTGCCCTATAGATATAGGTACGGTATTCTTAACATTATTTGCCTACTTGTTTTCCTCTTACTTCTTGGACGGAACATCATCATGACCAAACTTAAAGGAAATTAATGAGCAAGTCTAGATCATAGTGATCGACAGGTTTCTTTTGCTGGTTAAAAGTAAAGATTGGCGAGTTAATGTGGTAAACTTGTAGGAGGTCATGTACTTGAAAATGTCTAAATCTTACCAGTCTGGACGATAATTTACAAGAAAAACTAGAAGACAAAAATTGAAATATGAAGACACATATCACAACAGTACTTAAGTTGTTACTGTCCTTGAATAAAGTGCACATACAACTAAATATAGAACATTACATGAAATTCTACTCTTTGCTTTGAAAGTCAGAAGGCACTTCCTCAGAAGATCTTCCAACCTCAAAGGATACTAGCAATGGCAGTTAATGTAGAGAAGGCAGCACCAAGGTACTTCTTTCTTCCTATCATATCACTTCTTTTGGATATTGTTCTTTTTTCTTCTCCGCACAGGATTCTAAAGGAGAAAATGTTAGAAACTTTGATACTGAATTGATGGGAGAAACTTGTAGGTATGCGGTGGTTACAGGAGCAAACAAGGGAATTGGCTTTGAGACTGTCAAGCAGCTTGCAAATTCAGGTGTGACGGTTATATTAACAGCCAGAAATGAGAAGAGAGGAATGGAAGCAACATCCTTGCTTAATAAACAAGGTTTTTCAAATGTTGTTTTCCATCAGCTTGATGTTCAAGATGCTCAGAGCATTGAGTCCTTGGCAAAGTTCATACAAACACAATACGGGAGGCTTGATATTCTGGTAAGATTATGAACAGACCAATTTCTCATGCTAATTGGTTAGATTTATTGGAGATAAATCCCCATCTTAGCTCGTAGTGTGAGATAAAAAACTTATGGCATAAGATTCTAAGACTTCTGGTGTATTGCTTTCTATTCGATCTTGAAGCAAATAGTGCAAAAAATTGCTGATTAAATTTCTGCAGGTAAATAACGCTGGAGCTTCTGGAGTTGTAGTTGATGAAGATACGCTAAAGGCCTTGAACATAGATCCTGTAGACTGGGTAAGATAATTCTTCAGTGTTGTTTTATGATGGATTGCACATGGTAATCGGGTGATATGGGATTTACTCCCAAATCCAATTAAAATATTGATCCTTAAATTTGAGGTGGACGATAACCCCCTTGTTTGGTTTCTCGTTGTGCTCTGAACTAGAATAGAGGGATTGTTTTATGCTGTAACCATCCCTCCTTATCTCATCTATAATCGCTGCACCACTTCTAGCCTCTCTCCTGCTTTCTCATTTGTAGTGATCATGCACTTGCGATTATTTTTTACAGAGTAATTACTGTTACTCTATATTGTTGTAAATGGGATTTACTCTGTGTACTTATTATTATAAACAGTTAGCAGGGAAAGCTGCCAATGTAGTTCAAGTTGCGATGAAAACAACCTATGAGAGTGCCAAATTATGCTTGGATACTAATTACTATGGTGTTAAGAATGTT